GAATCCTACGAGGGCTCGATCCAGCTCTACCAGAATCCTGGCAGGGCTGGATCCAGCTTTATTAGAATTCGATCAGGATTCGACCAAGCCGAAATCGAATACCACAATACCTCGGTCGAGCTCACATCGAATCACCCTAGGGCTGGATCCAGCTCTACGGGATGCAGCTCTATGTGGGTCCTACTGAGGCCCAACCGAACTTTAAAACAATCCTGTTGGGGTCGGATCCAGTTCATATAACATCCAACGAGGGGTGGGTCCAGTTCTGATCGGATCCCCCTGGGGCTGGACCTAGCTTTGATGGAATCCTACTGGGGCTCTGTGTAGCCCTAATCGAATCTCCTTAGGGCACGATCCAGTTCTAACATAATCCTACTAGGGCTGAATCCAGCTGTGATAGAATCCTACCAAGGCTCGATGAAGCTCCCATCATCGAACTACGGCTGGGCTAAGCCCTAGCTCTGGAAGCATCGGCCTGATCACACCTCGCGTGACCCGCAAACTGGCGCTCACGACATCCACTGGTGGGCCGATCGGCAGGCGAGGACGCTTCGCCACCGCCCGAGCCTCCTCTTTCTGCCCGGGCCTCGGCGCGCGCGGCGGGGTCCGCGCGCGCACCTGCCCGCGACGAAACGCGCGGGGGCGCGCTGGCGGCCGAGCCGCCGCGGCCGCTCCTGCGCGGCTGCGGGCGCCTTTGGTCGACTGCGGGCGGATCCCACCGCGAGGATGCGAGCCGCGGCGTGGCCGCAGGTCGGAGGAGGCAGGGGTGCCGGTATATATATATATATATATATATATATATATATATATATATATATATATATATGTGTGTGTGTGTGTCTATCTATATATATAGCGTATATATATATATATATATATATATATATAGCGCAGAGCTCCTGGGGAGCCCTCGTCGCCACGGCTGGATTCGCCTCGAAATTCTGGTCAGAACGCACGCAAGGAGAGGTCCGAAGAGCAACGGTATCGGCACCGTTTGGTATCCCCAACAAGGGCGCGGGTCCAGAACGGACGAGGCTGGAAACACACGCATGGCTGCAGTCGCGTGTGGAACACCCAGAGGTCACGCGCTGGATGCACATGTGGAAGCCCTTCGTGCCCAGGCCAGAAAGGCCGAACGCTGCAAAAACATCTGGCCACACGTGTATTAATCCTTCGCCCGGGCGGGCCGCGTCACGTGGATTCCCATTTCCTCGTAGATCTAAACTTTCGGAAGTCACCGCGGATTTCCCTCCTCCTCGTCCTCCCCTCCTCTCTCCTCCTCATCCTCCTACCGTCCCCCTCCTCCTCCTCGTACTTGCCCTTGCGGATAGAAGCTTCTAGGTTTTTGTTCGGGGGCCTCTGGAACGTCGGGACCTCCTCCTCCTCCTGCTGCGACAAGGTTGGCAACGACGACGACGGCGACCACAACGAATGGCGGACACAACGTACGGCGGACGGCGACGTCGGCGGCGACGACTGCAATGACGACGACGACGGCGACGGCGACGACGGCGACCACAACGGAAGACGGACGGCGACGTCGGAGACGACGACTGCAATGACGACAACGACGGCGACGGCGACGGCGACGGCGACGGCGACGACGACGACGACGACGGCGACGACGACGGCGACGGGCGACGACGGAAACGCCTTGCCATCGCTCGGACGTCCGTTACCCGGGCACGTTTCGGTTTCGTGCCTGCTTCTTTGGCTCGGTGATCAAGGACGTTCCTCGATGGCCCTCGCCGAGACAAGAACGCACACGTCCGGGCGACGTCACGACGACGGCGGAGGCCTGTCGGGGACCGCTCGCTGGGGCCGCCCCAGGCAATGCCACGGGAGGGGCGCCCGCCCCGAAGAGGCGCCCTCTCCTCGTCGGCGACGGGCGACAACGGAAACGACCTGCCATCGCTCGGACGTCCATTCCCCGTGCATGTTTGGGCTCGATGATGGAGGAGGCTCCTCGAAAAGTGCACACGTCCAGGCGATGCCAAGACGACGGCGGAGGCCCTGTGGGGGACCGGGGGCCCCTCGCCGGGGCCGCCCCAGGCACTGCCACGGGGAGGGGTGGGGGGTGCACCGCTGCGGCCGTCACCCCGCCCCGAAGAGGCGCCCTCTCCTCGAGGAGGTGCCCCCCCACCCACATACACACGTACAAAACAAGCACCGCCCAGAGCCCCCACCCCCCAAAAAAACGCCCCGCTCGCCCAACAAAAGCCTCCTCGAGCTTGGATCCTGGAGCTTCCAAGTGTTCTGCAGCAGCAGAATCACTACCTAAAACCTGTCGGAGGCCTGGCGTGGAATTTCGTTCTGTCGGAGCTGGACCCCCCCTCCCTGGCGCGCGGAGCGCGCCACCGACGGCGCCGGAGGCGCCGCCAGGGGGGGCCCAAGCGCAGACCCTAGAACTCCGCGCGGAACTCCAAAAACTTCAAGATCACACCGGTTTCTCTCCTCCGACATCCTGGACCCTCGATTTCCCGGGGGAGCCGGTGACCACCGTGGTGGTGACCCCCGTGACCCCCCTTGGACCTGCCCGACCGCCGCGCTGGGTTTCTTGGATCGTCGTGGGGCCCAGCGCAGATCCGAGAAATTCGCGCGGAGCGCCGAACGTTGATGTCTGTGCCACTTTCTTTCTCTAGGGAGCCCTCAGCGGACGTACGCGCTCAGCCCGAAACAGGGGCATGACCAAACGTGGAAATCGGCGTTCCCCGTGCTCCCGTTAGTTGTGCCCCCGGCTCTGGCGTTAAGTCGGGCCTGCCCCCTTACAAGAGGATTTTGGGCGGAAAAAAAAACTACTCACAAAAAAAACCCTAATACCCCATAATACCCCCTGGACCCTCGATTTCCTGGAGGAGCTGGTGACCCCCCTCTGGTGGTGATCCCCCGTGGAGCTGGCGACCCGCCTGGGGGTGACCCCCGTGACCCCCCTCGGACCTGCCCGACCGCCGCGCTGGGTTTCTTGGATCGTCGCGGGGCCCAGCGCAGATCCGAGAAATTCGCGCAGAGCGCCCAACGTCCATGCCTGTGCCGCTTTCTCCAGGGAGCCCTCAGCGGACGTACGCGCTCAGCCACGTACACGAATATGGCCCCACAGTGCGCCAGGCCAGCCTCGTGTTCCGAAAGCTCGCGCAATTCGTACTTTCGAAACCAAGGTGGATTCATTTACATGGATGTCCTTCTTTCGCCTCCGGATTCTCGTGGCGACGCGAGCGCAGGCCGATCCGGAGCACGAGGGCCGCCACGAGGACGTGCGAGCAGCACCTGGAACCACCCTGGCCCTCAGAAGCGCTGTTTGGGGATACGGGACTCTGGCAGTGCGATTCGTCGATCCCAGGAGGAGCTGGTGACTGATGACCTCAACCACCCTGGCCCTCAGAAGCGCTGTTTGGGGACACGGGACTCTGGCTGTGCGATTCGTCGATTCCAGGAGAAGCTGGCGACTGATGACCTCCCCCCTGTGGGGGGGCGTCCAAGAAGGGGGCTCGCCAATCATGGCCCGAGGGCCATGTGCGCGGCCCACAGGGAGGGCCAGGAAACGCACTGAAAGAAGAAAGGAGAGGGGGCCGTGAGAGCTGAGCGATATCATGGCCCCCGCCACATGACATCCCCCCCTTCATTAATCAGTCATTACGCCCCTCTTGGCCGACCCCCCTGGTGGTGACCCTTCTTGGCAGGCGAGCCCAGAATCGAATCGATACGAGTCTGATCGGCGGGAATTGGTAGCCAGTCGGGAGGCGTCGAATCGGCGGAAATCGTCCGACCGAGAAGACCCCGCATTGAGAAATCGACATCCGGATCGGAATATGAAGCCGAGCCGACGCGGAATCGGAAGCCATCGCCATCGGAGTCGGCTCGGAGCTGAAATGAGCCCTGCCTTGGGCACTGCTGGACCGGCCTGCGGCCACCCCGGCGAGCGCGGGCTCGCGCTCCGACCCGGGCCGGGGGAGGCGGCAGGGTTCCGCGCGGGCTCGCGCGCGCGCGAAGCGCACCGCCTGCCGCCGTGCACCGGGCGAGGGAGGAGGGAGGGATGAGGGCGGAGGGAGAGGCTCAGACATGCGACGCCCTGACTTTGTCAGCACGCCCTTCCTGGAAGTCCCGACCCACTCCCCATGGACCGGCTTCCGTCTCTGCATCCCGAGTCGTGCTGTGACGGTCCCGGGGCGGCCCCCGCGTGGGACCGAAAACAGGGAAGAACCTTCCGCCCTGATGTTTTTTGTGTTTACGACGCGAGCATGCCCGGGGAAGGAGCATTGCTGGTGGAAGGAGAGGCCCGGTGTGCTGCTTCTCTCTCTCTCTCTCTCTTCCTCGCGTGCTTGTCTGCGGCGTGTGCGATCGAGGTACCGGCCCCGCGGGCAACCGACGGCCCCCCCCCCCCCCCCCCCCAGGAGGCCGAGGGAGCGGGACAAAAAATTCACGTCGTCGGAGTCCTGGGGTTGGCGTCCCCCCACAGGGAGAGGGGCGGGAGGGAGAAGGAGGGGGGGAGGACGGGAAAGAGGGGAGGAGAGGGGAGGGCAGAGGAGGAAGAGGGGGGAGGGAGGAGGAAGAGGGAAGAAGGGAGAGGGGAGGGGAGCGGGGAGGAGAGGGGAGGAGAGGGGAGGGGGAGGGGACGGAAGGAGAGAAGAGAGAGGAGGGGAGGAGAGAGGAGGGGAGGGGAGGAAGAGGGGAGGAGGGACTCCGACGCCCCGAACGTTCGCTCCAGCGGCCTGTCTGAGAGAGGAGGAGAGACGGGAGAACGGGAGGAAAGAGGGCTCCTCCTGCTGCTCCTCCTCCTCCTCCTCCTCCTCCTCCTCTTCCTCCTCCTCCTGCTCCTCCTCCTCCTTCTCCTCCTCCTCCGCCTCCTCCTCCGTCTCCTCCTCGTCCTCGTCCTCGTCCTCGTCCTCGTCCTCGTCCTCGTCCTCGTCCTCCTGCTCCTCCTTCTCGTCATCCTCGTTCCTGCCCACAAGAGGCCCCGCGGGCGGCAGTGGAAGACGCAACCGCCGCGCGCCCCTCAGCTCGGCCTAAACGGCGCCTGTGGGAGGGGGGCGGGGGTGCGGCGGCGCGAGCGCGCACGGCGCAAGCTCCGGAAAACGCCCTCCGACCCACCTCGCGTGCAATCGGGCGGCCCCGAGAAGCGCTGATTTCCGTTGAGACACGGGCAGAATCTAGGGAATCAAAGGGAAAACGGAAGTCCAAGGAAGATACAAGAATGCTGGGAGCCCCTGGAAGTTGCGTCTGTGTCTGTGTCTGTGTGTGTGTCTGTGTCTGAAGCCGTGTCCGTGTCCGTGTCCGTATGTGTGTCCCTGTCCGTGTGTGTGTGTGTGTCCCTGTCCCTGTCCCTGTCCCTGTCCGTGTGTGTGTGTGTGCGTGCGTGCGTGCGTGCATGCGTGCGTGCGTGCGTGCGTGCTCGCGTGCGCGTGCGCGTGCGCGTGCGCGTGCGTGCGTGCGCGTGCGCGTGCGCGTGCGCGTGCGCGTGCGCGTGCGCGTGCGCGTGCGCGTGCGCGTGCGCGTGCGCGTGCGCGTGCGTGCGTGTGCGCGTGCGCGTGCGCGTGCGCGTGCGCGTGCGCGTGCGCGTGCGTGCGTGCGCGTGCGCGTGCGCGTGCGCGTGCGCGTGCGCGTGCGCGTGCGCGTGCGCGTGCGCGTGCGCGTGCGCGTGCGCGTGCGCGTGCGCGTGCGCGTGCGCGTGCGCGTGCGCGTGCGCGTGCGCGCGTGCGCGTGCGCGTGCGCGTGCGCGTGCGTGCGCGTGCGCGTGCGCGTGCGCGTGCGCGTGCGCGTGCGCGTGCGCGTGCGCGTGCGCGTGCGCGTGCGCCTGCGTGTGCGTGTGTGCGTGCGTGTGCGTGTGTGTGCGTGTGCGCGCGCGCGGGCGGGCTGGCGGGCGGGCGTGTGTGTGTGTGTGTGTGTGTGTGTGTGTGTGTGTGTGTGTGTGTGTGTGTTTGTGTGTGTGTGTGGAGGGGGGGTCCCTGGGCCCCCTGTGCTCATGGCGGGAGGGAGGGAGGGAGCGAGGGGGGGAGGAGGAGAGGGGGAGGGCGAAAAGGTGGGGCGCGGGAGGCATGCAGCCCTGTAGTCCGAGCGTGGGCGAAAAGGTGAGAGGAAGGGGCGCAGAGGGGGGCGCAGGGGGGGAGCGAAAACGAGAGAACGTGGGAGGGCGAGGGAGGGAGAAGAGAGAGGGCGAACGAGGGGGAAGCGGGGGACGAATGCAGCAAATGCGACGCGGTCCCGTATCCTAGACCTGCATAGCCTACAACACGGGTACCCCTTTCCCCGGACGTGTGGGCTTGGATCAAGTAGCAAAATTTCAAGGGGGGCCCTGGCCATAAACATGATGGTTCGGATGGCACCGCTGGATTTTTTTACTAACCGGCAGTTCTTCAAATTCGCCGGCCCAACGGGCCAAGGGCGTGCTAAGATCTCCAGCAACTGGTTAACAACATCTCTAGTTCGCGCGCGCGGGGCCGCCCCTGAGGGTCCCCGGACGAAAAGTATCCCGGCAAGGTCCCGGCCAGGTCCAGAGAGGCCTCCGAGAGAGCTCGACATCAACCGACACGGTCCAAGAGCGATCCAAGACGCCAAAGATGGCCTACAGACAGTCCGAAGTCCCAGAGCGCCTTCAAGACGCCCTGAGAGGCCTCCAAGAGACCCCCCAAGAGAACCCAAAGAGGCAATGTTCGTGATTGTCCTTGAGTTTCTCAAGGTTTTTGGCGTTCTCGCCTATTCGGCTTACCGGCGCTCCAAGACGGCCAAAAAGACTTCCAGGATCGCCCCAACACGGCCCAAGAGGCCTGCAAGAGCGCCCAAAACGGACCCAGAGGGCCCCAAGACAACCCAGAGGCCTCCAAGATGGCCGAAGAGGCTCCCAAAACGGCTCCAAGAGCGGGCCCAGACGGGGGACCCGAACGGACATTTCGAGCTCTCGGCCCCAAGAGGCGCCCAGGAAGCCCCCAGAGACCCTCAAGGGGCCACAAGAGGCCCAAAAAGAGGCCCCGAAGACTCCCAACAGGCCCCCAGGAAGCACCAAGAGGCCTCCAAGAAGCCCCCAAGAGGCTCCCCAGAGGCCTCAAAACTGCTCCCCAGAGGCTCCCTCCGAAAAGATCCCAAGAAACATCCACGAGGATTTTGACCCACAACTCATGTAGCTCTCTTGAAGCATCTTGGCGCCCTCTGGGGCAATCTATCGGCTCCCTTCGACAGAGTGCGAGCCACATCCCCAAAGATCTCCTCGAAGACCGTCTTGCCCGCCATACCGTTCCCCCTGGGCACGAGCACACCACCACGCAGCCACTGTGATGCGAAATGGGCCGGCAGAGTGAGCGAAGCGATTAAGTAGTCCATGGCCCTTGCCCTCCAATCGCTCTTGTCATAACAGCAGACACCATGCACAGACATTCCCCGAACAATTGCGTGCACTAGAATTTGTTCTTGACCCGTGACCGCGCGTGGTAAGCTCGTGCACTGCCTCTCGTTTCCAGGCTTTCGCTTGGCGTTCTGTGTTCGCTCGCGGGAGCATCGTGTGAAGGCTCTCGTTGCAGGAAGCACACAAACACGTGCACCACATTGATTCCTTGTGTATGTATGTGTATATACATATATACATATGTATATATATATATATATATATATATATATATATATATATATATATATATATTATATCGTATATATACATGTATATATACACATAACTCGACTATGCCCCCCGCACTCTACCCGCCTCCGCGAATCGCACGGCCGCTCGCTTTTCTTTATCTATTTAGACATGTTTACATATACATATACGTATACATATACACATACACATACACATACAAATATGCTATCTGCAACGATGGAGTGACGGTGAAAACGAAAATGAAGTGGGGGTGTTCCTGTTCCTGCGCTGGGGCGTCCAGAAAAATACTCCGACGGCAAGACCCGAATCCCCCAACCGAGTCTAGAATCTCATCGCCGCCCTTGCGTGTGCAGAGCCTCCCTTCCCGTCTCCCCATCGTCCTTCCCCTTTTTCTCGGCGGCGACGATAGGGGCGAATAGCCCAGGGGCGGGCATTACACGCATTCGCCCAGGAACCTCGCCGAAGACATGGGTCATCAGAGCCCCGGGTTACATGTATTGCTCCCCCCTGGGCTGTTCGCCCCTATCGTCGCCTCCAATTTTCGCCATGGCGGAGGCCCTCTTCCCGCCCCATGCTTTGCCTCCTCCTAGTCCGCCTGCCTCTTCTCTCCCATCCACCTCCTCCGCCGCCCTTTTAGCTAGGGCATGCAAGTGCGCTGTCCTTGGCGCCGTCGCCGCCACGACCGACAACGGTGCGTCTTCCGATGGCCAGATCGAGGAACGGGTGGGGCAACCCCGTGGGCCAGGACTTTGGTCCCACCCCGCGAGCCGCTGGGACGCGGGAGCACGCATTTGGGCTTCATCGCAAGGTAGACAATCTTCTGAGGTGGGCCTTGCAGTTTCCGCGAAATTGCATTCAGCCGCCGCGCATGAGAATTGGTGGGTTCTTGAACCCGCGGCGGAGAGACAACGCGTACCATCAACCAGACCTGGGTCATTAAAGCACATGATCATGCTCCACGGAGGCTGAAGAACATGTCCGCTACGAATTTCGTCGTTTTTGCTTCGGTCGGGATGTTGGATGCGGCGCAGTTGTATAATAGATTCGTCCCGATCCAAGGTAACATCTGCATTATCGTTCTTCATGCACCTGACGGAAAACTTAGTATCGGTATGTTTGTTAAGTCTACATGCGCCGAACGTGCTTTCGACGCGCTTCGCGTAGCTCTCGGCAGTTTCCACATGTCCAATCATATTGATATCGTTCGCGTGTTCGGCTGTCAGTAGCGCCTCAGCTGTTTCGAGCCCTTCGTCGTAAGACGTGGCTTGCAAGCCGAAGCTGCGCGTGATGTTGCGAAGATTCAGGGAGTAGGCTCGCGGAGCGTCCTTCGTCCCTGTGCCTGGCTTCAGGCACTGCAAGCAGCGGCGACTTTCGTCGTGCTCCTTAAGCCCAGGGAGAGTTCGCAGCACGGCTGCCGATTCAGGCGGTAGCGCAATGCATGCGATGCGCTCCCGGTTCCAGTGGCTTCTGCAAGCTCACGGCAGGTGGGGCCCTCTAGGAATGCTTGTCTACATCCGCACACGCAATGATCCAGTCAGGGTTGCGCGCGCCTGCGCCGGCCCGTAGACGCCGCCTTGACCTTCTGGCTGTCCCTGAGAAAGCTTCCACAACAGAGGCTGCCACGTCCATGGGCCCTCGCAGGAGAAGTCCCAAGCGAATTGCCCTGGCCATCTCCTGTGTCAATATGCACGAACTTCCGTTTATTTACGTAACGTGAGGTCATGGCGTTTGAGGCGGCTGAAAGAGATGCCATCTTGAAGCGCTTGCCACCATGCCAGATCTTTAACTCAATGTAGAAAGCCTTGCCTACGCGCCCTGGGTTGGCTTGGATTTCAGCCCCAGGGAACAAGCCGTCTTCCTTTACCACCGCCGCCCGTTTAGCAGCTGCGGAGACGTAGATCTGCACCGTGGTAACGCTGTCGTTCCGCTATCGACAATACTGCGTTCTGCAAGGACAACCTCGGCCATATCGGTTATATAGCACAGTTCTACAGATTGGCCGCATTTTTCGCTATCAAGCGCATAGACTTCGCCATGATGAGCGATCGCGGAGACGAGACGCGGGAAACATCAAAGTTATGATAATGTGCAGCTCCGCGATGACGACCACCTGGGTCGTCGATGGCTACGGTAACCCGTCTGGTCTGATACCATCATAGTAGGTGGGCATTACGCAGGGAGGTTCGAGTGTCGCAGTCTCGAGAAGCTCGCGCCCATCCCGAAGTTCTGTATACAAAGCTTCGATGACATAGGTCTCAAGGTCGGCTTGAGGTGATTCTTGGATCGCGGTGAGACGCCCAGTAGGCGGGGGGGCAGCTTTCTCGGGCGTTTCCGCTGGTCGCGCGCCCCCGCGCTGCGCAGGGCAGCTGGCATTCTCCTCGAATGTCGAGTGGCCCTCATCGAAGCCAGCCTGAGGCTTAGATGAT